ATATTTTCCTCCAAAAAACGTGCACACCTGAACGATGCAGTTACCTTGGTTATATGCAGTGAAAGTTACATGTTCATTAGATGCCTATACATATTCATGAGCTATCCCAAAAAAGGCACTCGGTTCTGGTGGTTGGCTCTTGACACTTGCGCAGGGCCTCCTGGTGGTCTTGGGCAGGGGTCTTCAGGGATGAAGGCCGTAGGTCTTCCTCATGATGAACTTTTTACCTTAGTCCCCAAACTAGTTGTTCTCAGCACATTTTGTAAGGTATCTTCCCCTCCAATTCCACAAGGTGCTTCATCACCAGATGGTCCTTGTTAGACACCCTTATCACTAGTGTTCTTGTCACTTATTTTTGGTTTATGTTCTTTTACACAGCCTCCATCCTGTAGGCCTTTGGCTAATTGCTACCTAACGACCTTGAGAGGTTATTTCTCGCGGGATGCTTCTTCTCCTATCAACTCTCCTTCACAGGTCTTCGGATGTTACTCCCCCCATCAATCCCCCCTTTTTCTAGGAAGTTAGTATATTCTTTTACTACAACTAAAAACTCTTTTGTTATTAATCACTTATAGCCAATAAAAAATTCTTTCATCTCCTATCTACTCAAAATATTTATTCAATTCTATCTTCTGCCTCAGCTGGTGTTTCTTCCAGGTGCTACAGGCATCCCGTGTTCTGACAGAACCAGAGGGAACACCTAATAACTATTAGCATTGGAAAAGCCAATACCACTATAATCAGGACTCCAAGCAACGTTATGATTAATGTTTTTAACCAAGCTAAATCAGGAAGCCAGGAGGTAAGCTCTTCCCACAGGTTAGAGAAACCCCAAGAAGTATTGTCTTCGGTAAACCCGTGTAATATTTTGGTTCACTCCCAAATTTCTTGTAGGTCCGTAGCGATTCTCCCACTCTGGTCTACATACATACAGTAGCTAGTATTTATCACTGTACATACCCTCTTTGCAGGGCTAGCAGGAGGTCTAAAGCCATTCGATTCTGTAAGACCACTTCTGACAGACTGGATACTTCTATCTGAACTGCTCAGATAGCATCTATTGTCCTGTTTTCAATGCTCCCTATTGTTGATGAAATGTTTACTATTGCCTTTTCTAATTCACTCACTCCTAACCGTGGGATGAACCATCTAGCAAAACTATGAAAGGCAGATGGTTTCTTTATTAAAGGGTTTGCTCTACGAACCCTTTTAGGAAGTGATCTAATCCATCCCCCATGGGCTTCCAATGCAGGATATATTGTCTTGTTAGGGACTATAGCCCCTAAGGTACAGGTTCCTTTCCAATTTGCAGGTAGAGCATTATAAGCAGTATCATTGCATATCCAGTACCACCCACACCCTTCTGGAACTGGCCAAGAGGTAATTTTCCTGGAGTGCTGGGAAGTCCCCATCTCCCAGGTCTGATTACAATTCGTATGGTTCCCTACATATATACTGTCCTTGCAATCTATTTTCCCCATCCCCTTCGGAGGGTTACATCTCTTTAAGCATGCACAGTAGGGAATATCACTCTCAGGGCTCACAATTTTTAACTTTTGTTTCTCATCTTTAATAGATTCCCATTGCGAATCAACCCATAGTGTGGATGTAAATTTATCCTTTGGTATTGGTGTGCCAGTTAGGGTCATTGGCTTTCCCCCATGGTCAGGCATTTGGGAACATATCCAGCAATCAGTTCTGTTTATGACCTGAGAGATACCTTTCATTACGGCGTAGTGTGAGTTTGAATCCCACCTTGCCCCTAAGGCTATTAGCGAGAGAAGTATAATTTTCCCAGCTGGACCTGAATTACTTGCCGTGGCGACTTACAAGACTTCTTTACTCTGGAGTGGTGGATCCAAGCGTTCTGTTCTTTTATCTTGATTACAGTGAAGGATGTCAGCAAGACTTGAAATCGTCCTTCCCACTGTGGATTTAGAGATTTTTCTGCAAGAGACTTAACATACACATAATCCCCAGGGTTGTATATCATGTACAGGACCATCTAGGCCTCTACTTCGAGTCCCAAACACGTTTTTCAATTTTCTTAATTTGCTTGCTTAGTTCAATCATATAATTAGTTAAAATCTCAACCCCAATCTGGATAGACACTCCTTGTTGTGGACTGTAAGGACGACCATATAAAATCCCAAAGGGGCTCAGTCCCTCCTTTGCCCGAGGTCTTGTATGAATTCGTAGGAGGGCCAAAGGTAAGGACTGAGGCCAGGTTAAGCAAGCTTCTTGCCCTAATTTTACAGTCTGCTGTTTAATTAGGTGGTTCATATTTTCCATTTGCCCGCTGGATTGTGGTCGATAGGGAGTATGCAGCAGGTGTCAGTTGATTTGTTGAACTATTTTTGAGATAAAGTGGGGTCCTCTATCAGAAGATATTGTGGCGGAAACCCCAAACCTGGGTATTATTTATTGGATTAACACCTTAGTTACTTCTCTAGCTTTCGCAGTCCTTGTAGGAAAGGCTTCTGGCCAACCTGAAAAGGTATCTGTTAACACTAATAGGTAGCGATACCCCCCTTTTCTTGGCAGTTCTGAAAAATCAAATTGACATTGTTGCCCAGGGCCATTTCCCTTTCCAGTTTGGCCCAGTTCAGGCCTGGGTGTATTCTTAGGATTAGTTTGGAGATAAAGATCACACTGCTGTGTTATTTGTCTAACTGTAGTGTACAGATTTCTGGCTATGATTCTCTTTGTCAAATCTTTGTACAATGCTTCTGCTCCCCAACGTCCTTTCTTGTGTCCCTCCTTTGCTAAGGGCCATGTCAAGTGAGAAGGAATAATCACTCTATTCTCTGGAGTAACGGCCCAACCCTTTTCATTGAATGACCCTTCTAAATCAGTAACGAGTTTCCTATCTTCTTTGGTGTATTGGGGCTTACCTTGCAAAGATATCTGCCCACCAGGAACCAAGGCTCCCTCAATTTTTACCTTTCGCTTTGCCGCTTGTTTTGCCTCCCCGTCCGCCAGCTCGTTTCCCTTTTCTAATTTGGAATTCACTTTTTGGTGCGCCTTTATAAGCATTATAGCTATATTCTGAGGAAGTTGTACAGATTTGAGTAGTTTCAAAATCTCTTCTGAATGTTTGATGTTTTTTCCTTGTGAGGTTAATAACCCTTGTTCTTTCCAGATTGCTCCATGTGCGTGTACCACTCCGAAGGCATATTTGGAGTCTGTATAAATGTTAACAGTCTTTCCTTCAGCTAATTCCAGAGCTCTTGTTAGAGCAATTATTTCTGCCTTCTGTGCGGAGGTGCTACTGGGCAGAGGTCCTGATTCTATGACTTTCTTGCTTGTAGTGACAGCGTATCCAGATCGACGTACACCATTCTGCATGTAGCTACTCCCATCAGTGAACCAGTCCTCAGCATCTTCTATGGGGTTGTCTCTTAGGTCCAAGCGGCTTGAGTAAACTGCTTCGATGGTCTCCACACAGTCGTGGATCACTGGTTCCCCTGTGTGGCCACTGAGGAAGGAAGAATCCATGCTATTCCTGTTCCTTCAGTTTGAGTGGCTATCAAAAGGTCGCCTCAAGGTCCTTTGTGAGCTGGTTTCCAAATATAGGACTGTTCTTAAACCCTTGTGGCAGCACCGTCCAAGTGAGTTGGGTTTTATGCCCACTCTTAGGATTTTCCCATTCAAAGGCAAATATTTTCTGACTGGCTTATTGGAGGGGGAGGCAGAAGAAGGCATCTTTGAGATCTAAAACAGTAAACCAGGACAATTCAGGTGTTAATGCTGTCAAGAGTGTATAAGGGTTAGCAACTACTGGATATAGACCTTCAGTGATCTTGTTTATAGCTCTTAAATCTTGGACTATTCGATACGACCTGTCTGGTTTCCGGACGGGTAGTATGGGAGTTTTAAAATCGGACTCACATTCTTTTAGTAGTCCTAATTCCAGGAACTTTTCTATTGTCGGTCTGATTCCTTCTTGTTCATCCTTCTTAAGGGGTACTGCTTAATCCTTACCGGTTGCCATCCTTCCTTAAGTTTTACCTCAACAGGGGTGGCATTTTTAGCTCTGCCTGGCACTTCAGTAGTCCACACTCCTGGGTACACTTGATCCAAAACTTCTTTATTTGCTTGTCCTTCTGTGGGAACACTCATTAAATACAGACCAATTATTTGCACGTAGTTGTGATCTTTTACCTCCAGAGTAATTTCCCCTCCCTTAAACGTAATTACTGCTCCCAACTGGTCTAGCAGATCTCTCCCTAGAAGAGATTTAGGAGAATTAGGCATGTACAGGAATTTATGGATCCCTACTTGTTTACCCAGTTTATATTTGAGAGGTTTACAAAAATATGCCTTTTCGCTTCGGCCAGTCTCCCCCTTTACAAATATATGTTCACGATCCAAAAGTATTAAAGCCTGATTCAAAACTGAGTACGTTGCTCCCGTGTCTACTAAAAATTCTACTTCCTCCTGCTCCATCTCTAGCTTTATAGCAACTAGTGGGTCTGCTAGGGTACATTCCCCTGGTCCCTGTCAATCCTCCTCAATGCTCGCTATTGTCCTTCTATTCCCTTGCTGATTTCCTTTCCCCCTTTGTTCCTCTCTACTACTTCCTTCCTGCCTTTCTGGACAATCTGCCTTCCAATGTCCCTTTTGTTTACAGATCGCACATTGATCTCGGTCCAACTTCGGTGGCCCTTTCCTAGGTAACCGTGTCTCCCTTTCCATCACTGCCACAATCCTTCTTTGTGCCTTTTTGCATTTCTCTTCTCTATTGCTATACTCTCCATGCCTCATCCAATAACACTTCCAAATTCCTGCTATCTGCTGAGCATAATTTCCGTAATTTGCGCCTGACGTCTCCATTTGATTGTCCTATAAATAATGAGACTAATTGCTGTATCCCCACTTCAGACCCAGGATCCAGTGGTGTGCTTTTACGCATTACTTCTCGTAAATGATCCAAAAACTCAGTTGGTGATTCTGAAGGTTTTTGTTTGACTTCATATAAGGCAGACCAATTAATAGGTTTAGGAATAGCCCTCTCCATCCCCTTCGTAATCCACTTTTAGCCTTTCTAAATGGGCATCTCTGTCAGGATCCCATCTTGGCTCTTGGAGAGGAAAATATTCTTTAATATCCCCTCCTACTGTTTTATAGTGGTCCTCGGCCAAATCACTGGCTACTTTTAAAAACTGCTGTTTTTCTGTTTCAGTTAAATGCTCCAGCAACAGTTGTATGTTTTGCCAATCTGGATTATGCTGTTTACCAATGAACCGAAAGTGTTTAGCGACACTCACTGGATCACTCTGGTATTCCCCGGCTACTCGCTTCCATGCTTCTAAGTCAGCGGTAGCGAAAGTAACCCTCAGTAACATTCTTCCTTCCAATGCCTCTCTTAAAAGTGCCTGTATTATAGTGGGGGTAGTTTTGCTCCTAATATGGGAGGCAACAGGACTACTGGGCTCCAGAGGTGGCGGAGGAAAAGGAAGGCCAATATTATTCGATTCCTCGTCCAATTCTTTGGTTTCGGTGGGAGGCCTGTACAGATTGTTCAGTTCTGGCTCTGGCATTTGGTGAATCTTATCAGCCCTAGTGCATCTCTGTCCTGTGCTGCAGGCTGAACAGCAACGTTTTATATTTCCTTTACCACGTTCCCGCTCTAGGGCAAGCATCAATGGGTCCTGTGGTGGTACCATTCCACAGTTCCTTTGCCATTCTGGGTGATTGCGAAGGGTAAAGAACATATCTGTGTATGAGACCTCATCCCATTTTCCCTCTCGCCTTAAGAATAACATTAGCTGTAAGATTGTATTATAGTCAATTGTTCCATTAAGTGGCCATTTAGCCCCATCTTCGAGCTTACAAAGCGGCCACCACTGATTACAATATTTTATAAGGGTTCTCTTATTCTCTGTTCCCCTCGTTCCATTAAGATCCCTCCAGTGTGCTAAGACACATCCAAAGGGGCTTTTTGTGGAGATCTTGCCCTGAGTGTTACCCATCGTGTTTACTGATTCACTATACTTCCTAAATTTCCACAATGCACTCTTATTAACTCACCCTCTCCCCCAAGACGATCCTAATCCCTCCAGAACCCTCAGCGAGCACAGAAATAGTCACCGCACTGTTCTATGTATACCAGATAATTACAAAAATAACAGTATACAGAGGGTTACAAGAGTAGTCACCCCACCTGTGAATAGGACAGTGCCACTGTACAAATACTGAGAGGTCGAGGTCTCTAGTTGCCATACGCTTCATCCATTCCCGGCCACTCCCCTCGCGGAGACGCGG